CACTGTCCGCCTAAAGTTCGTAATGACCCAGATGCTTTCATCCTGGGTATTGGCCGAAACAAGAGTGTCGCCAATTGACTGCTTGCTTGGTGCTGTTACATGACTAACTTTGAAGCATCTCACACTTTAAAATCTGAAGGGTTAAGGCCTGATAGCTTCATAAAGGTATCTTGCCGCTCCAAGACCATGGGCCGTGTGCTGAAGCTTCATAGAGGTATCTTGCCGCTCCAAGACCATGGGCCGTATGCTGAATGTCGGGGAGGGGATTAGGAGAGGTTGGGGAGGTTCGTCGCAGGACCCACCGGGCAACGGCCGCACCTTTGATTTTGTAGCTTTTCCCATTCTTTCATGCTGTTTATTAGATGAAAAAAGGTATTAAAGAGCGGAACCGTTGCAAAGTGAGCACTGTGACGAACCTCCCCAACCTTTCCCCATCCCCGTCCCATCCCCAACATTCAGCATGCGGCCCCATGTAAGAGGATGACGTAAAGTTCCCACAACGGACTACGGTAGTCTGAAAAAGCAGGAATGTCTGTTCGTACAATGTGAGGTCCGCAAGAAGTGCGTCTCAAGGTCGATCGATATCCATCCTGCGGTCTGCCCGTACCCCAAGTACATTCGAGAAGAACCAAATCGCCTATTGGAACCAATCAGAATGAAATTTTCCTCACAAAGCGGTACTCTATAACAAGGCCGAGAAAAATGCCCTATCGTTTCAGCCCTGAGTAATCCTACAGTAAATGGAGAGGAACACTCCCAGGTTAAGACTGGGGTTTCCAGAGATCATCAGTGATAGTATGGAGCTCCAACAAACCCAAAGACCAAAGTAACCCCAACCATCGGCAAGACGACGAACGAGAATGCGAAATGCGCCGACGCGCGGCCGCCCCATGCCGGCGAGTGAAAAAAAAATCGATCACAACTCGTCGCAGAACATGAGTTCCGTCAGCTGCGCGCGTCCGCGGAGCGAGTCCGGATTAGAGCAGAAAATCGTCGCTGACAAAGTCGACAAAATCACCGACGAACAAGTTAATCGTTCTAAAACGAGACAATGGGAGTTTTTTTAAACGATAATAAGTCTGAACTTAAACTGTAGGACGATGACCATAACAGCTGTGCCCTTATTTTTTTTGGTTCAAACTCTGAGAATCCATGCTTTCACCCATTTTATTTAGAAAGTCAAAGAAATTTTGAGCACACCTAACTCTTCGTAACAGTTCCATAACGAACGAACAATACATAATAAAGAAATAAACAAAGCGGCAGGGTGATTCATGTAAAGTCCACATATTGTCGTTTGACAATGAAAGTGTATTTTCTTAATGCACATTCAGCTAGATAGGTAGTTAGCTAAGCCTATGTGCTCTATTACCCTCAGAATGGTTCTGCAATCAGTAATTAGGAGAGCAATGAGTCCCGCTTTGTCTTTATCTAGAAACAGTAACTTTTTTTTAAACTCACTCACTGATCGGTTTATTCACATTATGCGCTCCATGGTTAAAATGGTGGTTATCTCACCTTTAAACAGAACATTCATTTATTCATTTTTTGTGCTCCTCTATTTCCTTTCCTTTCGTTTTTATATTATGATGCTGCCACTTGAATTGTTGAAGGGTTATGACAAATAGTTTGGGCTGGGTAGATTTAACAGGGTGGGACTGCGAAAAAAAGATCCAGTAGGTCTTGTTTGAACTGTCTGACGTACTCATCAAGCATCGCTCAGTAGTAATATTACAATGAAGTACTTCAGTTCAGAATATGCCTCGGCGGAAGCGAAAGGGGCGGAGTGCCAGAGCAGCTCGACGTGGCCTTCTAGGCTTGGGTGGAGGTGCTCCAAAGCGTCACAGGAAAGGCAAGGTGAGCTATGGTCTTCTTTAGTGATTTTTTTTCGTTCAACTGTATTCCCGGGTTTCAGAAGAATGATGACGTTCTGGATGAACAGGAAAAGGCTGTGAAACAGATCCGAGCCGCTGGAGCTGCCAAGGCTGCCGAAGACGAAAAAGCCAGGTACAATTATTTTGTAGGGAAAGTAGAAATTTGCAGAGCCAGCTCTACATAATGGGCTGTCTTGAACTGTTTGTTGGGTCACATTTATCATTTGAAAGAGCAGGGGAGGGCCTAAACTCCCTTCTCAGAAATGCCACTTTTCGCTACACCTATGGAACTTGGGGTTTCTCACACAGTGAAGTTTTCTCATTCAGAGAGAAAGAATTAGTTGTAAACGTTACACTGCTGTCTGACAAATCCACAAAGAATCCTTGACGTCATGATATAAGCTCTTTTGCTCTCTCTAAACTGTAAACTTCTCCTAGGTACTTGCAGTTGTATTGGGTTGGAGCATAATATAATGGCGCTTGCATTTTTCATTTCTTCACACAAACATTTGAAGCAAAAAATAAAAACATAAAACTAATCAGTGATGTTCACTTCGTCATTATTTACAACTTTGATTGCATTTCGCAGGAGATCACCGGATATAGAATTTAAAAAATATTGAGCTCGTTTTCGGAGTCCTTATTATTCTCAATTTTTACGAAATGAATATGGTTTTATTTTCAGCGAAAAAGGTAAAGCTTTAAAGCAGAGTTCGATTGAAACACAATGGATTCAGAGGAACATCCAAATTGGCGTTTTTTCTTCCTTATTCAAATCGAAGAATAACAGCTGAAACGCCGATTTTCACCGTCTGAATTTCCCAACTTCTAAGCTCTATATCTGAGTACAGCTACAATGTTGAAGAAAATGACAACTGTGTTTTCTAGAGCGGGAAGAGTACTTTCAAACAGTGTGAGCGGTTCTTCGGGTGATACTTGTACGCTCGAAAAAAAAAAACGCTACGATATTATGCTCCAACCCAATAGTTAAATTAGTAGGACGATTATTTTGATTTAAAAGGAGAATCCTATGGCCAAGCTTGCACAGCACTACAATGTACTTATTCAAAAAACAGACAAGCTGAAAAATAACCTTCTCTTGAGTGGGTCTGTGGAGAATTTCCCTGGCGCTGTGCGAGTTTTCGGAAAATCCAGAAAGGGTTTCGAATTTGGAACTACGGTCCTACCAAATCGTAGATTTCATACATCACCTTTTACTACGAAATCTCGAAGTGGTCCACTCGTACAGTTGGTCGTACTCAGAAGTATTTTTACTAGGTAGTAGAAATGAGAAATTTGAGAACTTTTTTCTTGCCTTGTAGGTGTGATGCATTTTCTTTCAGACAACCACATTCGTTTGTAATTCATCGCGGTGCCGTTGGCAAGTATATAAAGGCACTTGAGAATGATATTCGGCAAATAATGGATCCTTTTACGGCGAAACACTTAAAGGTGATGTTCCCATGTTGATTCAAAAGTAAAAACTCGGTTCTTATATATTCATCATTGTCAACAATTACAGACACTAAAACGCAATAACATCAAAGATTTCGTGATCCATGGTGCTGTACTCGGTGTCACTAACATGATCGTATTAACGTCTAGTGATACTTCTGTCCAGTTGAGGATGATGCGGTTCAATCAGGGACCCACGCTCACCTTCCGTGGTTGGTAGCCAATAATTCAGAAATTCTTCCGAGTTGCTAGATTATTGTTGTCAATCGATACACATACTTCTAGTGCCGGAATACTCCTTATCGCGACATATTTTGTCCACTCAGAAGCGACCGCTAGTGCACCAGAAACTCTTCGAAAAGCCTCCACTCGTTGTTATGAATGGCTTTAGTCAGGTTGGATAATTTTTTCCATGATATTCAACAAGCTTTTTGCCGGATGGTCTTTCTTTTGCATTCTTTTCGTCTTTTTGTTCTTTAAAATAATTTGAGATTTCTTTTCAGAGTGGTAAAAAACATCTTCTGCTTGTGGAAACATTCATACAGAACATGTTCCCTTCGATCAACATTGATACGGTATTCATTTTGAAATAGCTTCGAATTTGTAGGTGGACGTTTTAACCATAAGTAAAAAGTGAGACCTTTCTGCTGCTAAGGGGTTAAGGAAAATAAGGGACGTACGTTATCTCAGATCCAACCAGTGATAAATGTAAAGCATTTTAATGCATCTCGCTCCGGGATGCGGCGTGCATTCTGTTGCCATTTGTGACCATAATGCCGTTTTGAATACGATGTGGCCATTACAGTAACTTGTGGGGGCCAGTCGTGTACAAGCCAGTGCTTTTACCGTCCTAGAGAAGTTTGCTACAAATTTGCTGATCAAGAGATGGAGGGGTTGTTTGAATACGATATGGCTATTACAGTAAGTGGTGGGGGTCAGCCGTATGCAAGCCAGTGTTTTTACCGTCCTAGAGAAGTCTGGTACAAGTTTGCTGATGAAGGTATGGACGGGTTGGTTGGTCTGCATCCACAATTCAATATTTAGCCCCCTATTAATGAAATACATATTGATCAATTTTCCATGATAGCAAGATTCGGATTTTAGATTGGCGCCTGTGGGTTGATGCCAATATAGCCCTGACCACGGCATTCGTTTTTGATATTTGGCGTTTGTAATCGCTCATATTTTAGCTTGAGTTGCGAACTGTGAAACGATGCTTAATGGTGAATTACTTCGAAGAAGACGATACCATTGAGATTCGACATTAGTGAGTTACTATCTGCGATATTTAAAAAGTTCTGGGGTGCTCCTTCGAGCGTGCTCCATATTTGAACGTTCTGAACAAGCACGGCGTGAGTTTGAATAGTTCTCAAACTTTTTGTTTAGTGCAATTCGAACGGTAGCATCAGGACTGAACAAATCTGTGCGTAAACTGGTGCAAGCCGGCAAGTCTACCACCAAGGATTTGCCAGATCTCTCGAAATACAAGGATATCGCAGATTATTTGTTAAAGTAAGAGCGAAAAACGACTTCCATCACTGCTCAGCAACTTCGATGACTTTCAGCCCTGGCCATTTGAGCGACAGCGAATATGAGGGTGAACAAGAAGAAGTGGTTCTTTCTCAAAGCATCAGTGAACAAACTGGGACAATGAAGGGTGAAAAGAGTCATATACGGTAAGACTATCCTGTATTATTTTTTGGAATACATGAATTCACGTTAATTTTTATCTGACTTATTCCCTAGAGTGAAAAAATCCCAACAAGGTCGCGGCCATAGTTGGTGATATTGCAGTTTTCCGTGGAGTAGATGCTTATTGATTATACGGTCATGCTAGGCGCTCGCAAACTGTAACCGCCGATCTAACAAGCAGTTCGATTCCGTCTGTTCATGTTGAGCGCAATATCTCGAAAGTTAAAATTTCTATTGGATTACAGGTTGATGGAGATTGGACCGCGTATGAAGCTTGAGCTTTTGAAAGTTCAAGATGGAATCGATGAAGGAGAAGTGTTGTACCATAAAATCATCAAGAAAACCAGCGAAGAACTAGAAAGGCTGAAGAAGGAAGCTCCTAAGAAGAAGTGATGTTCATAATTCTTGATCATCTTAATATTTTCAATAACAACTTCTTACAGAAAATTGAAGAAACGGCGGGAAAAAGAGA